GCAACTATTGAATCACCATGTATAGAATACGAAGTAAGCGACCTATTTCAATCAAGTATCTATCAAACAAGATGAAATTCAATGAAAATAAATAAAAAAATCAATTCTAAACAAAATTCATTCTTTCTTTCTGGACAACTCTACGCTGTTCCAGGCGCGCTTCCGGATGAAAACAGCCACGCAGAAGGCGCCGCCGGCTACGACGTCCTCCGCTCGTCCCCCTCCCCCTACCAGAGCAACATCTACGAGACTATCCGCCACGACCGGCGCCTCGACGCCGACGCCATCTACGAGACCGTCGAAGACGTTAGGCGGCGCCAGCAAATGGCGCCCGAGCAGGAGGAGCCCGTCTACGAGACGGACTACGGCCATCCGAGCTGCAGCAGCACGTACGGCCGTATCGGGAACGCGTACGGCCGTATCGACGTCATAGGTACGTAATCCCTATCCCTGCTAATATTATAAATGGGAATGTTAGTTTGTTTGTCGGGCTTTCACGCCAAACCTACTCAACCGATTATCATGAAATATTGTATACATATTCTTAGATGTATTAGAAAGGACATGGGATATTTTTTATTAAAAAAAGAAAAATTTTTACGACGTGTATAAATAGTATATTATACACTCAGGGTGAGAAGTGAGCCTAAGTATATATATATATATATATATTTTCCACTACTAACACTAGTAACACTGAAATATGAACATCTTTCATTTATTCAGATTTTAATTTCCATTGAAGGAGCAATGCTACTCACCGTGTATATTCAGCATTGTTTAGCATGGCCTGGTTCAGCATAATACTAACATTTTGATGAATCAAGAATAATCTATGAGTTCAGTTGTCAAACAAACTAAAAGGAAATTCGACTTGACTCAGAAAATGAATGCTGTATAAAAATTCCAGCTGAAATTGTTAATAAATACAAAATACAAGTGAGAATTTGAGTGAGGGTAATTTTGATAGGAATTAAGCTTGTACCCCGCCTGCATGAAGTTAGGAAGGATACTTATAAATGTTGCAAATAACCAAGTAGATATTAAAAATACAGTATTCATTAGAATGTTTTGAAATATTTAAAACTTATGAATATTGCAGATTGCTAACGCGTCGTTCTGCCATCTGCAATCGCGTGCGGAAAAGTGTCACTTTCCGCACTTGTTAGGTAAACTACTATTTGCAATTTTCTACTACTGAAAATGATGAAATATTACTGTGCAATTTTCTATTTTGGGTCGAATATCTCGAAAACTGCTCATTTCAGCTCAGTTGAAGGTGATGAATTTTTTGAACAAGATTGAACAATGAATTCGAGGAATTGGAAAAAAATCGAAATTCAATCAGTGGCGTAGAAAATATGGGAGGAAAAGTTACCACAACCCACTGGATAAAATGTCCGGAATGGTTTTCTGGTCAAAAAATGACCCATTCAAAGATGAAAACCATATACCGAATTTGAATGCATTATATTCAATTATTCTTGAGATATTGCGAAACAACTATTTTTATTTCGTAACTTCAACGCCCTGTATCTCGAGAACTGAACACTTGTAGACCGTATGTCCCTATATCAGTGATTATGAAATCACGAGGGCTTTCACCTGTGAAGCGTTGTCGGTCGAATATCGCAACACCCTGTAGATGTAAAGTAAAAAACTAATGAAAATTTTGTTTTCTATTCGCTTAGGACACGGCATCGGCAGGATAGAGCGCCACCTGTCGTCCTCCTGCGGCTCCATCGACAGCAACCACTACGCCATCGAGAGCCTCTACGGCTCAAATGACAGATCGGGACGCATCAGCAAAGTGTCGGTACAGTGGCTGTTGGCTAACAAGTGGCTCCCTCTGTGGATAGCCAATACAGAAACAGGGCGAGACTACAGGATCATCGACTTCCTGATCGCCCAGGGCTTGGAGAGGGGGGAAGAGGAAGAGGCAGAAGAACGAGAGGGGGGAGAAGGGGAGGACGGACCGCCAGAGGGAATTTAACTCATCAACCTCCACATCATCGTTTATTATAATTTTCACTTCGGTATTCATTTGATTATAGTTATATGTTGATGTGAGAAACAGATGAAAACAATACCGTTCTCATTTGAGGACGCTTGGAGAGACCAGTTCAGCCAACAATGTCTCCTGTGGATAGCCAACATGGGGCGGGGTGCCACTACAAGATCATTGACTTCCTGCCAGAGAGAATTCAACATCAACCTCCACATAATCATTTATTCGAATTTTCACTACGGTATTTGATTATGGTTTTATTTTGATGTGAAGACCATATTGCCATCTTCAAATATTTGAAACAGATATAATACATACACTAGATAGTCAAATTGGAAACGCTCCAATGGGATCTCACAGACCGGCGGCTTATCGGCTGTGCTGATTCTTTGACCATATATTAATATCCGAGTCGGTGCAATACGTGGCGTTATAATGAATAGATGCGCACAACAGATTACCACCGCTCTGTTCGTTCCCAACTAAGCGTTGCCCATTCTTACATTCACGGTGCCTATCTAGGGTTTGTATGATTTTTGTTGGAAACAATACTGTCCTCATTCGAGGACGCTGGGACAGAAAGGAATAAAAATGTTAATGACCTATCGAGACGCATCAGAAAAGTGTCGGTATAGTGGCTGTTGGCTAACAAGTGGCTCCCTCTGTGGATAGCCAATACAGAAACAGGGCGAGACTACAGGGTCATCGACTTTCTGATCGCCCAGGGCTTGGAGAGGGGTGAGGAGGAAGAGGCAGAAGAACGAGAGGGGGGAGAAGGGGAGGACGGACCGCCAGAGGGAATTTAACTCATCAACCTCCACATCATCGTTCATTAGAATTTTCACTTCGGTATTCATTTGATTATATACCTTTTCAACTTCAATTTCGGAATCGGTAAGTTATATTTCGGAAAAAGTTATCTCGACTCAGAATCGGTGGGATGAATTTCCGAGAAAGTCCATTCAATTTCAGAAATGGTAAGTTGTATTTCAGCATTGGTAGGTTCAATTTCAGAAAATAAATCCTTATATTTGTTTGAAATGTTTCCAATTGCATGTGAGATTAACAAACCATATTTACAATATTCAACTTTTCAAAAACAGTTCAATAACAATTATAATCTCAATTTGATCCACAGAACTTACCATTTCTGAAATTGAATGGACTTTTTCTGGAATTCATCTCACCGATTCTGAAATTGAGTTAACCATTTCTGAAATCGAACTAACCAATTCTGAAATCGAGATTACTTTTTCCGAGATATAACTCACCGATTCCGGAATTGAAGTTGAAAAGGTATAGTTATATTTTGATGTGAGAAACAGAAAACCATATCGTTCTCATTTGAGGATGCTTGGACAGACCAGTTCAACCAACAATGTCTCCTGTGGATGGGGTGCCACTACAAGATCATTGACTTCGTGACAGAGAATTTAACTCATCAACCTCCACATCATCATTTATTCGAATTTTCACTACGGTATTTGATTATAGTTGTATTTTGATGTGAAAACCATATTTGAAACAAGGATAATACATACACTAGATAGCCAAACGCTTGTGTGAAAATTGGAAACGCTCCGATTCTTTGACCAAATCCAAGTCGGTGAAATACGTGGCGTTAAAATGAATAGATGTGCACAGCAGCTACCAAACGTTGCCCATTCTTACATTCACGATGCCTATCAAGGTTTTGTATTATCTTCATTCGAAACAATACTGTCCTCGTTCGAGGACGCTGGGACAGACCGGAGTAAAAATGTAGTAAAGAGGAAATTCGACTTATCAACGCCTATATCATCGTTTATTCGAATTTCCACTTCGGTGTTTGATTATGAATTATTTTTCATCAAGGTGCCAAGTTCAACACACTTTTATACTTTTATTATATCGCGAATATTCCAATATCTCGAATTCAATTGCACACTAGGATAAAATGTTTACGAATTTTTCATATTAACTACATTATTATGAATCCTATGAATTATATTTTTCTGTACAAAGTATCTGATGTTGATGTTGTAGTTACTGTATTGAGTGTTTATGAGTATCAATAGCTGCCATAAAAAAATCTAGGTACTGAATAATGGCTGATCTCATATTTAGATATATTCTCATTGATCAATTCAAAATACTTATATTCTGCAATCTACTGATTTGTCGACTATAGGATCGGCAGGGTTCCCCAACCTACCAATGAATATGGATATGAAATGTTCTATTGATGCTTTGTTGAATTCAGCATTTTTTCTGAATTCAACTATACAAAGTTGCAAGAATATTTCACCAAAAACTAGCAACTTTTCCTATCAAATTGAAGTAAGAAATATTGATATATGATTTAGAAGTTTCTTCAATTTGCAGTTGGTATTAAAACTTGAAAATTGGTATGCTCTTATCTTACTTCTTATCCTTTCCAATCTAGCTGGAATATTTTTAGTCTTCCAGCTGTGCAGGGTGTGCCAAAAAGTTATCACGAACTTTCTTATTTTGGATGAGAACCTATATTTTTTCTTCACATGGTTCAATCGGCCTTCTAATTCTCAGTTAGACAATTTGATTTATTAGGAACTGCACGTTGGAAAACTTCTTTGTGACCAACGCGGATGTATATATTACTGTGTCCGTTTCACCTTGTTTCTGTGATTGGTAAAATACTTCGATATCGTCAAGTAAACTTGACTACTTAACGAAACAAAAAAGTTTAGTATTTAGGTTTTTGTTGATAAGGCTGGATATTGATAGTTGTTTTATAGATTTAGCTGATAAGTGTTGAAGAACCTGAATACTCTCAAAAATATTTTGTAAAAAAGCGAATGAAATACAGTATATTGAAGTTATTTGTTATTTTATTTCATCACTTGCCATGAAATACATTGCAGTGGAAGTATGGGTGTGGCTTCATTAGATTCCATCAATTATTCCAAAACCATAATATTCTTGATATTTTCTTGATAATTTTACTGAAAACCATGATCCATTTTTTTTATAGCTGGGACTGTAATATTCAGGATTCTGAAACGAACGGCAGACTTCAATTCAAGTGTTACAGAAAATGTTCCCTTGATCCAAAACAAACCTTTGTCACTACCTAAAAGGAGCAAATTATTTTTGGAACAAACTATGAGAGAAAGGAACACCTTTTTGGGTACGTATGGGAAAATATATTGATTCTGAACTAATGAATTCGTGAAACCCGTTATTGGATTCGACTTGAGTTTTTTTTTCATTTTTAGATATACATCAAACATTTCAACAAGATTTGATGAGAATCAGATTGCATACTGCCAAAGAGCTACTCCAACAGAGTACGAATCAAACAAATTCCATTAATCAAAAAGAACAGGTGAAATTGTCAGCACAGGTAAACGTGATAAAACAATATAAATAATGAGAGAGTGAAAAACTCAAATGTCTTTTCAACAAAAAATTTCATGATTTAACGGCTAACGAGAGAAAAGCTGATTTTCTGACTAATGCCACGTAAAACATCGATTTACACTCTCACGAAATCTATACGATCATGACCTAATATAAGTTGCGGTGTTTCTTCCTTATCGCCGAATTATGGTTGAATTGAAGTCAAGTACCGCCTAACTACCTGGTGACCGGTTTCGAGCTATTGGCCTTCATCGGTGTAGGGCAGCGACCACAGCGATCCCGGCCTAATGAAGGATCTTCAGTTGATGTAGAGGCAGGTTTGATTGAACCTGGAAAGGGGCAGAACCTTGGTGGGGGAAGTGGGGCGGTATCGTCGTGTGGGAAGTTGGGCGGTATTGTCGTGTGGGAAGTTGGGCGGAGACTAGGAGTCGTGGAATTTCAGAGCGTTTTTGTACTGGAACTAGTTCTATCTCTTCTTCCATCTTTCTCTCTAGTGCTACCAAAGTGGTCGCTTTAAAATATGGAGATCTAGAGTTACTTTATGAAACAGAGAAGCGACAATAATGATGCACTTTCTGATTGGTCAGACATCTAATATGGAGGTGCATCCACCAGTATTGTTTTCTCTATTCAGTTCTACGCATTCTATTTCACTTTGTCAGTTTGGAGTTTGTCAACGCTTTGTCACTGTTTATATACACAGATTAACAAAAAGTTGTACTGTTTATTGCTCTTTGGACACGATACCTTGGATATTAACTATTAGAATCCGTCTGTTGGAACACGCAAAATTGATTAGAAGATGAAATGAAAACATCAAATATCTAAAACTAACATCAGGTGGACACTTGGAAGGAGCAAATTCATTACTGCATGTGAGATACCCTCAACAGTTTTAGCTATCCAGTGACTTGCCCACGAATTACATTTCGGAAAACTGCAGCCATTTTGAGATATATTGTCGCCACTCTATTTATCTACTAACTCTAGAGACATCGGATAACTCTTTCCTTGTCTAACGTTTAGTATGCGGCACTGAACTATTTTCAATGTTATATGAATTGATGTCTATATGTCATTGATGTTTCAATTTTCAAGAAAAAATTTCGTTAACAATCTGCTGAATACAAAAATAATTCAGTGGCACAAACTGGATGTTACAAGGAAATATTTATCAGACCTTTCTATATTTCAATGCGGCCCCTTTGGTAGTACTGAAGAAATAAATGAAAGAGGAGAAAACTTTCTCTCGTTCAAGGTAGAAGAAAGGTCAATTGAAACTTAACTAGTAGATGTTGGGAAAGGTTAGACCGAAGGCGGGGATTGGGCCTGAGAGGGGGCAGTACCTTGGTGGGGGAAGTAGGGCGGAGTCTAGGAGTGGAATTTCAGAGGGTCTGTGCTGGTGGTGCTTGTACTGGATTCTTGCTCGAGCATTATTAGATGGCTTGACGTCGAATGTGATTCACATGAACTGAGCCTTATTTAATATTAAATTTCAAAATACTGGGTCTGAGAATAATTCTCTTTTTTCAAGGACACCCAGTAGAGTGAAGGCTCATATTTTTCTTCTTTCATTTTGTTTCACTCGACCTTGTACTATTAATTTGGTCTTATTCATTTCCATTCAGTATCACCAATTAGAAGTAAAGAGAATGATGGCCAAGTTAACTAAATTTTTTCTGTAAAAACACTTCTGGTAAAAGATATGAATTCTGGATAAAAGTTTGTAGCATATTTAGCATATCAACATTCCCGAAGCATAAACCTTCAACATTGGTGCGTTGATTTTGCTGGTGTCTTTATTCTTGCAGGTGTTGGGCTTGGGTACAAAATTCACAGTTACCTTTACATTGGAAAATATGGAAACTAATTCGGCATTAAGAGGAGTCATTATGATATTGCACGTCAATCCTTTGAATTATGAATGTTCTCCTAATAAAACATCAGTAAGTATTCGACTGGAATTTGTTGAAATATATTACAATTTTGGCAAATCTAAACTATATCTTGGTTTAAAAAATTATCTCAAAATTCGTTCAAAACTTTACACTAATTGCAATGCTTTTATTTTATAGGTGCCTTTGCTGCAACCAGGGTTTTCTCACAAAATCAGAGTAAAGATAGAGGAAATTGTCGGTGAAAATCAAACAAATGTACCAAGAACTCCAGAAGACTGTACTATACGTGTATTTATTACAAGAAAACACCAAACGCAGCCAATGCTTGCAGCTACAGTGAATATGCCACTATCAGAAAACATTTCACTTTAAATAATTTGAAGCCCAATTCATGTACGATTCAACGAAAATTGTTGGTAATATTGAAGCATGTGTTCTCATTTTTTCTGAATTTTAGAATTTCATGTTTTTGCCAAATTAATCAACTAAAGGAAAATCTCGCCTCAACTTGATTTAAACTGATTTTAATTTCGAAAATATTGAGTAAAATTTTTCAATCATCTAATTTCATGCTTAAATAGAACTAAGTATTTCGTTATTTACTTAACATTAGTGAAAAAGCATTATCAGTTATACAGGGCGGATCTTTTTCAAATGACCTTAGTCTAGTATGTGTAATAGTGTGAATAAACAATTTGAAAGTTTAGTTGACGTTTCACGTTTTTGTTTCTTTCACCTTAATTTTGAATGAATCTATGAATCGCACTGTATCTATGATACACACTTCATGTAACTACAAAATAGTGTCATTAAGTGTCAAGAAATATGATATGAAATAACGTACTTTTCTCAAGAATTCCCCGATTTTTTCTTTCTCTTTCTTGTGAAACTTTGTAGTTTTCAGAATTACTTCTTGGTAAATTACAAACACCACTCCGACAGCAACTGAATCTTTCGGAGAATAGCACAAAGGCTTTTTAGAAAATGACCATTTTAGTCTCTCACAAAGATAAATCGAAACTTCATCCATCGTAAATTGGGAATATGAGAAATGTGAATGGTAGGAAAAATAAAACACCATAATCAGAAATGAAATTTCTTTCAAGCAAGTACACAGACTTCGACAAACAACAAGAAAACACTCACCTAAAGTCAGACTGACCGGACCCATCGAAAGTGAGGCAAGTTGACGGAGAAACAGTCCACGGTCAGTGACATAACCTCAAACACACCTGGATGGGATACAAAGAGCTAACACAACGTCTAGATCCCGTGTCCCAAACACAACAGATACCCACACCCAGACGACATTTCAGATATTCGAGAGATCTCTTCAGTCCTCTTCCTTTTCTACGTTTCAAGATGCTAATGAAGATGACTTCAACAAAAACATTTTCGGTCTTCAAGAGAGTTGCAAAATTATTCCCAATTCTCTTGATCTTCACGATTTTCTTTTTTCTTTGATCATTGATGAATTATTTTGAATTCTTCACATTGAGAGCTGATTTTATTTTCAATTTCTTAAAGATACTTCAAGTTCATCCGATACCTCTTGATAAACCTTTCCAAAAAAACAAAAAAAGCAATATTAGTTTCATATTGTACATTTATTTAATGCTAAAGTAATGACACACCATCGAAATTAATAACCTAAAATATTCATATTGGATCAATCATTTGGTGAAATTGTTACAATAAAAATTCAAACATATGCCATATTCATGACATCAAACAAAGTAACGCGTCTAATGGTACAAAATAACGAGTTTATGCTCTCTTCAAAAACACATTGGTGAATGCTGGAATAAACTCAAAAATTGATAAATCTTAAGATCTCCTCATTATAAATGAAGTCCGTCCAAGAAGTTTAGTACCGACCTGAAATTAACATTGTAAACAAGAATTAAAAAAAGGAATTGAAATCCGATCGAATCCACAAAATAACAATACCAGGGTGTCTTATCTTCAGTTAAAATGATACAGCGCATATTGTCATAAAATAGATACAATAACGCAGGGTTATTTCAACATATTTCAGACACAGAGTTACAGCATAAACTAGCTTTCAGACTACGTATTGGGTAAAAGGCTGAGGTGAGCTGATCTAGTGTTTTTGTGTTGATTCTATGTTTTGAATGGGCGTCTACACCTTAGTAGAACTTTTAACTCAAACCATGTTTATAATGATCCTTTTATACATAAATAATGATTGACAACATAATTCGATCGAAAAATCAACTGGAATGTTTTATTTTTGGACATGAATAATGGTACCTTCTGAAAACGGACCCTCTTATGACGTAGAAACCTCATCTCGCCATAGTTTAAAGAAAATACCAAATGCTAGATTTAATTTTCTCTAACATGTTAGTCTCATCTGTCAGTAAAAGTAGTTGTCCATTTGTGAAAGAGGATGTATGGCATCCCTCATTGAACATATTGGTGCAGGTTGAAACTGACCCTGACTGTGAAACTAATAAAATAAAACCCTCATTTGTATATGACTATGCCAAAGGAAACTTCCTTCTTCTATATCAACTCTTGAACGATATTGACTGGTCAGATGGCTTAAGCTCTATGAACCCCAACCAATGTCTTGATATTTTCTACACAAAAATACATGGAGCCATTGAGAATTCCATACCAAAAAAAGTTATATATGAAAACAAAAATAATAAAAAATGCAAATACCCTCAATGGTACTCAATAGATCTGATCAGGAAAATCAGAAAAAAAAAATAACCTGCACAAGTATGTTCATCGAGAAGGTGCTACTGCAAAACAATTAATTGACTATAAGAACTTGAGAATCGACATCAAAAAACAAATCAAAACAGAGTACACAGCATATGAAGAAAATATAGAAAAAAACGTCAATACAGATCCAAGTAGTTTCTGGACATACATAAAATCTAAGAGCAAAGGAAGAGGTATTCCGAAAGAGATGGTCTATGAGGGACATACTTTCTCAGATCCAACTGATATTGCCAATGCCTTTGCACAGTATTTTGCAGCAGTGAATGAAGCCCCATCAGGGACAGAAAATGACAACATCCATGTTGAATGGGGTAATTACAATTTTCCTAATATTACTGAAGAAGATGTTAAAAAGGCTATTCATAAGTTGAAATCAAAAAAGGCAACTGGAACAGATAATATACCATCCTATATTTATAAGGGCTGTGCAGAGAGCCTCTCTAAACCTCTGGCACATCTTTTCAACATATCTGTTGAAAATAGTGTATTCCCAGATAAGTTGAAATTAGCTCTCATCACACCTGTGCATAAAGGTGGCAAACTCAATGATGTTGTGAATCACAGGCCAATCACGGTTCTAAACTCAATAGCCAAAATATTCGAAATTTTACTTTCTGATGAAATATATGAGAATGTGAAAGGAAAATTAGCTATAGAACAACATGGATTTGTCAAAGATAAATCTACAATAACAAATCTATGCATATTCACAAATCACGCATCCCAAGCAATAAATGATAAACAGCAGATGGATGCCATATTTACGGACTGTGCAAAGGCATTTGATAAAGTTGATCACCAAATATTGCTGAATAAACTTCCAAGCTTTAATCTATCAAAAAACACATATAATTTCATAAAATCATATCTTTCCTCAAGACACCAAAAAGTAAAAATTGGGTCAACTTTATCAAATAGCTTTGTTGCTACATCAGGTGTACCCCAGGGCAGTAATCTAGGACCACTTCTTTTTATAATGTTCATAAACGATTTACCACAAAGTGTAGAAAACTCATCATGTTTAATTTTTGCTGACGATTTTAAAATTTTCAAAACCATACATAGCACTACAGATTGCTCTCTCCTGCAGAAAGATATTAATTCTGTGACTGACTGGCTAAAGCTTAATAAAATGTACTTGAATCTTTCGAAATGCTCTGTAACTAGTTTTACACGACGCAAAAACTTTATAGACTTTGAATATACAGCTAACAATACCAAACTGATTAGGAGAAGCGAATGTAAGGACCTTGGCGTACACTTTCAATCTGACTTGAAATTCAATAATCATTACAGTAATATAACTAACAAAGCTTATAGGGCACTTGGATTCGTCATTAGAAACAGTAAAAACTTCAAAATAGCAACCATCATCACATTATATAATACACTTGTCAGGCCACACCTTGAATATGCATCGGTCATATGGTCACCACAAACAAGCTGTAATAAAGATATCTTGGAGAAAGTCCAGAAACGTTTTTTAAGATATCTATATGTCAGAGAAAATAATGCTTACCCATATCTAGTGGCATATAAATCAATGTTAGCTAGTTTCAAATTCCAGTCGTTGAGTGATAGAAGAAGCATGCAATCTGTGATATTTATATATCATATTGCAAATAATACGAAATATAGAAATTGTCTCCTGATAAACTTTATTAGTCAAATAGTTCCAAAAATTAACTTAAGAATAAATAATAAGACCAAGTTTCACACAGAAATATCTAGCTGCTCTCCCCTGAACTTCATGCTATGTGAAAGTAATAGATTTCTAGAACATAACGAAGATATTGATTTGTTCAACACCACCATAAAAAAAATCAAGTCGATTTACTCACAGTAGTCATCCTTACTCATGTATAAATATAGAAATTTTAATATGTCAATTTTAATATGTTATGAAGTTTGTGTATGTTGTGATCATGATGTATGATCTTATCGCACCTCTATACGAAAAATGACGCAAAGTCCAAAACACAGTTCCTCAGAAATGACGATTTAAGTTTTTTTTATTCCTATTAATCGGTTAACCGAGCAATATTAATTTTGAGGAAATTTAATAGAGCTATAATATAGAGAATTATGCATTATAGTTTCAGATTTTGCAATCAATTTCTAGATTTTTCGAAAAAATTAGCATAATTAGATAATTAGAAGACAATGACCTTCCATTTACGTCATTGTTCCACTAACACTTTCAATATTCATGGAATTATGACACAATTTGGTACGAAAATAGTATTTTATTGAAACTCAAATTAACAAAATCCATTGCTTTGGTAAGGTAGCATCTAGAAAACTTAAGTATGACATAAAAAAATAACAAAAATTCGTCAATCTTCATTGCTTATAAGTACTAATGACAATTTCCACAGTTCAGAATAGGGTATTGTAAAACGGTTCATGAAATCTAGGAATGATATTACCTTGTATCAGACTTTGTATATCTGCCTTTTTATTTGCACTTATTGGTAATGTCGAATTGTATGCGGGTTTCAAAGATATATTTCGTATATCTCTTGCTCCAGAAGAACGCCTGCTGTTGGTTTTTATCTGGACACGTTGCCAGCTCGCACTGTCCTCATAGCTCATTTTGTAAAAGTAGGAATCGTTACCTTTTTCAAAACGCATCATTTTGAAGTCTGATATTCCAATCCGATCACCGTTTACATTCTTCGAGTGATTGAAGACCATCTCATCACTAAGCAGCTTCAAATCCATAAAATCTCCGAAACTCATTTCTCTTACTATGAAAGGATTTCCTCTTTTTTTTGCGGATCTTATTATGGAAACGTACTGATCCGGTACGTAGATAGGCCCCGATTTTTTCGCCTTCTTGAGCGACTTTTCAATAGTACTGTGGACTGCATCACCCTCATTCTGCGTATGCCCCCGAACGAGAAACTTATGTGTGATAGACTTCACTTGGAACTTCTCAACTGCATATAAGTACAGTCCAATGATAAATCTGAAATGAATCAAGCAGGATTTACTATATCGCTGGAATGATTATTGTGAATCTTACCGGTTCTTCTGTTGGCCACCACAATTATCGGTGTAAAACACAACATCGGCATCAGCCCGAGTACTAGTTAATTCTTCCAGGAATTGAAGAACACAGGACCCTATCTCATTGGAACCTCTATGCCCTAATCCTTCATGCCAAAAGTAACACACAGTGTGGTCATTTTGTATCTCCGATATCTAATAAATGAAATTGTTAGTATGTTACGAAGCATATTTTGATATTATAGAACTACTTACGGTTAAATTATAACAATTCAACCTCGATTTATAGAAGAAAGCAGACGTTTGCCCCACCGGCACCGGAAGCACGGCTTACAAATCATACGTTGCTACAACCAAGTTAGATCCAACTTCGCTAGCGTTCGTCTTATCTCTGGCCTTTTCATCACAACTTAACTTCTTTTCCTTCTGATGTAACTGATAAGAACTTTCCAAATGTCCTTTCTCTGTAGCTGTTGCATTCTTGTAAGCTTCGCAAACATCACATTGATCCTTTCGCGGTGCAAAGAATCCAATGTTGAAATCAGTATTGAAGATTCTTGCATATGTCTCGTAGTTTGCGGCAGCTTTGTTTGCACTACTTTGTAATTCCTGATAATTTCTAAACATTTCAGCAATACAGAGCCCACCATCTACAAATTCTCGTATTGTGTTAGCTCTCAAATAGTGGCTTTCTACCCGAGGAATCGAGTTTATGTGCTCTCTAACAGAATTCAATATGTCACTGTCCGTCTTCTTTTGGTTGCCATGCCACGTTTATCTTCTTCAACGATTCCTGTACCAGATGCTCTTGACTTAATGACAGTCCGAATTGTTCTTTCGGTTATTCCAAAGGTAGAAATCATGAAGGACTTACATACGCGAGTTCGCTTTCCGTCTTTGAATGAAAAGAATGCGCAGTTCTGCCTTCTAGTTTCAGCATTAGATAGGGGATATACGACGAAATTTCAATTGGAGTGGTTCGATGCATGATCCCAAGAAATCACGCTGACGCTGTAAAGAGGCTAATTTCCAATTTTCTTCGAATAATTTAGTTCTAGTGTCATTCTCGAACTTTGTTGAACATGACAGTTTGCATCGATCAGAACATG